TATAAAGGCAGCAACACTTGTACCACCTTGCTCCATGTTAAGAGGTCTCATTGACCAATGGTTTAAATATCTTTGCTAGCTAATAGGTCTACTCTGAGACTTCAGTACTGAATTCCTCATCCAGAGCCACAGGAAAAACATAAGGGCCCCAGTCCTCATCAAAAAGTCTGCAACCCTATACTAAGGATTTATCATCATAAGTTCAATTGTTTACATACTTACCTGTCACTTTAGTGTCCCAGAGTTACAGCAATTTAAAACTCAATATTAAAATCATGTTTAAAACATGTTAGAGCCACAGGAATAGGGTAGGTGGGGGGGTGTCAGGTGACAAAGTCCAAGGTAAAGGTGGGAAAACCTGTAGTTCTCCATGTGTTGTTGCTTCCAGGTCTGGTCAGCCCCAGCCAGCATGACCAATGGGCAGGGACGATGGGTCCTGTAGTGCAGAAACATTTGGTGGATGTGGATCCCCGATGCAGATCTTATTGAGCTGGAAGGACCAAGGCAGCTTTTGTGTTCAGTTCAATCCCAACTCTCATGGAGAGAAATGTTCCCATTCCAAAATGGTCCCCTACCCGCAACGATGCTATCAGCCCTCTGAGAAAACAATATTAAGTACAGTCATACCTTGGTTGACGAACGGCTTAGTTGCCAAATGTTTTGGCTCCCAAACGATCAAAAAACAGAAGTGAGTGTTCCAGTTTTCGGACGATTTTCAGAAGCCAAACGTCCGGTGAGGCTTACGCAGCTTCTGATTGGCTGCAGGAACCTCCTGCAGCCAATCGGAAGCCGCGCCTTGGTTTTCGAAAGGTTCTGGGAGTCGTTTCCGGAATGCATTCTGTTTGTCAACCGAGGTACAACTGTACTATATTGTTCCTGTATTTCTCTACAACCAGCTATACATTTTTCCATTTTGTATCAGGAAAAATTCTAGGAATTGTAGTCCAGCAGCATATAGAGAAGGTGGATCTTACACACACACACACACACACACACACACACACACTACTTAGGTTTCAGCCACCCAAATGAGCCCTACATCTCTGCTAACATTATAAAAATATATAATTTTAATATTTTTATTACTTTTATTACATCTGAGCTGCTTCCAGCACTCGCTCTCCCTCCCTCCCTCCCTCCCTCTCTCTCTCTCTCCACACACATACACATATAATTTCCATTCGACCTACCCTTCCTCTGAAAGAAGGATCTGTCTGCACACATCCCATGGAAAGGCTTTAATGTGACTCAACAGCTGCCATAGATTTCAGGGATTTGTGTGTGTTTAATCCTTTCCTTCTTCGCTTTTCTGTTCTAAGCCAATGCCCTCGGAGGAAACAAAGCAGGCTGCCTTGTTTTGTTTTGCTATACAGCAGGCATGTCCAACTTTCAAGAGACTGAGATCTACTCCCACTATAAAATAACTGGCAGTGATCTACCAAAGTTGGGTTTTTTTAGGAAGCCAAAGTTGTTGAGCTTTTCTTTTCTTTTTTCCCCAAAATTTTGGGGTGGGGTGTGTGTTCTACAATCTACCATGATCTACCACGTACCCCCCACAATCTACCAGTAGATCACGAACTACCTGTTGGACGTCCCTGCTATACAATATCTCTCTCTCGAAGAAAGGAAACTGGCTTGGATCCTGATATAACTCACCTCAAGGAAGTTCATGGACAGGAAGCTTCCCCTCCACTCCCTGAAGTGTCTCTCTCTGGCCTCCCAGAAGTCTGTGGGGCAGGTTGGGGACCCTCCTAAGCAACTGGTATAGGACACCAGGGCAAGGGTCATTGTTATTTTATTACTATTAATATCTATTTATTTGTCGCGCTTTATATCAAAGTGTCTCAAAGTGTAGTGAGAAGGGGGGGGGGGAGAGACCTTCCAAAAAGCATGGAAACTAAATATGAAAAGCAGGAAGGGCAGCAGGAGGAAAGGAGAACTTTCCTTCCACGAGCTTCCTGAGGTGAATTTACTTCAGGAGCCAAGCCAATGTTGTTGTCGTGAAAGCCTGTGAAAGAAACCAGGATGCAGGTGGGGCGGTGGGTTAAACCACAGAGCCTAGGACTTGCCGATCAGAAGGTCGGTGGTTCGAATCCCCACCACGGGGTAAGCTCCCGTTGCTCGGTCCCTGCTCCTGCCAACCTAGCAGTTCGAAAGCACGTCAAAGTGCAAGTAGATAAATAGGTACCGCTCCGGTGGGAAGGTAAACGGCGTTTCCCTGTGCTGCTCTGGTTCGCCAGAAGCGGCTTAGTCATGCTGGCCACATGACCCAGAAGCTGGCTCCCTCGGCCAATACAGTAAGATAAGCGCTGCAACCCCAGAGTCGGCCACGACTGGACCTAATGGTCAGGGGTCCCTTTACCTTTACTATGAAAGAAACCAGAACTATGGTGGTCCTTCTGAACTGCCGTTTCCACCCTGTCCTTAAAACGGAATAGCCGTGCTTTACAACGAACATCTCGAAAGCATCCAGTAAAGTTTTGTCAAAAATATATAAGTTATTATTTGAATGGTATACAAAGGATGAAGAAGTTAAGTTGGTTATGATTAAATGGGCTCAAGATCTTGGTCATAATGTTGAATCTGATATGTGGAAAGATTATGGACAAAAATAATTAAATTTACTGCATATATGGCACTTAAGGAAAATTTAATGAAGATGATGTATAGATGGTATTTGACGGCGACTAAACTTGCTAAAATGTACAGAACTCAAGATAAGGCATGTTGGAAATGCAAGGAGAAGGAAGGGAATTTCTTCTGTGGTGGACATGCAGTAAAAACAAAGCTACTGGGATATGATATACAATGAATTGAAAAGGATTTTCAAAAATACATTTATTTAAAAAACTGGAGGCTTTCTTATTGGGTATTATAGGAGAGGAAATTCCAAAAGCAGATATAAACATATTTATGTATGCCACTACAGCTGCAAGGACACTTTTAGCCCAGAAATGGAAGCAGCAGGAACTTCCAACTTTGGAAGAATGGCAGACAAATGATTGAATATGCAGAACTGGCAAAGCTGACAGGGAGAATCTGAAACCAGTGTGAAGAACTGTTTTGAGAAGGACTGGAGTAAATTTATACAATACATGAAAGAACATTGTAAACATTTGAAAACGTTTGTAGGTAAATTTTACGAAATATAGAAAGAAGGTAAATAGGGCAATATAGAAATGCTAAGATGGTTGTGATTACTTAAGAAAGCCAGGGAGGGTGGGGAGTCAATGCTTGGTATGAGCAAAGTTGGGGACTTCCCTGGCTTTTTTCTGGCCCACGTAGGACCAGTCTGGATAGTTGGCCTTGGTGAAGATTTGACGTTTTCATCCCCAAAAAGTTTTTTATTTGAGTTTCTACTGAAATCAGGCTGCATTTTAATGTTGTACTTAATCTTGCTTTTAAGTTGTATTTTAATCAATTGTTTTTACCTGGTGTCAGCTGCCCTGAGCCTGGTCTTGGCTGGGAAGGGTAGGGTATAAATAAAAAAATAATTAATTAATTATAATTATATATTTATATTTATAATTATATAATTATAATGTGAGGATATGATTCGATATGAATGTGACAAAGGATAAAAATGAAAATTTAATTTTATATCTATATCTATCATCTATCTATCTATCATCTATCTATCTATCATCTATCTATCTATCTATCTATCTATCATCTATCTATCTATCTATCTATCTATCATCTATCTATCTATCTATCTATCAATCATCTATCTATCTATCTATCTATCTATCTATCATCTATCTATCTATCTATCTATCTATCATCATCTATCTATCATCTATCTATCATCTATCTATCTATCTATCTATCTATCTATCTATCTATCTATCTATCTATCTATCTATCTATCTATCTATCTATCATCTAATCTATCTATCATCTATCTAAAATAGCATCCCACCATGCAAGGAATCGGGAGAGCTTCGTCAGTCGGCTCTCCTCGTTTTGCTTGCCAGTCTTGCAAAGGGGGTGGGATCCGCTCTCTGTGAAATACTAAGAGGCTGCCGATTTGCACCCAGTGTCTCCTCCCAACTTTCTGGGAGGAGCGAACTTGCAGCTGGCAGCCAGAAAAGATGCCCGCCAGCGAGTTAAGAGACACGAAGAGCCCCTTCGCACCGTCTTGCCCGCTTCTCTGTGTTTCCCCTTCTTGGGGGCGGAATCCGCTGGAGTTTCGCAGGCTGGAAAGACAATCGGGGGAAGTTGTGTAGAGAGCCGCCCTTGCTCTGCACGGCATGGGAAGGGGAGGAAAGGAGCGGATCGTGAAGGACGACAGCCAGAAGGACAATAGCCGGATGGAAAACAACAGCCAGAGATAAAACACGGCCAAGCCCGGGGCAGCACGGACGAAGCAAGGAAGGGCCGCCCCTGCGCCCTCTGCTGGCTCGATTTCTCCCCTTGCCTCTCGTCCAGTTTAATCCATTTCCAGACGCATCTTTCAAAGCGGTCGTCCGGCGTCTAAAATTAGGACACCGGGGATTTGGGGCCCGCTTGAAGGCCCCTTCTTCCCAGGGTGGGCTGTGGGCAGTTGCTCAGTGATGAGGGAAGCGACCTCTCTTGCTTGCTCAAGGGCACGTCGATGTTGTCAGGGCTGATGGCCAGGAGGCTCTTGCCTGAGCGCCTGCAGAAATTAATCCCTTCTGCACACACACCCGAGTATTTGCGTGTACTCCAACCGCAGACCATGACAGTTATGGGAAGTTATTGCACATTTTTTCGGTGGTTTCCTGGAAGGATCTCAGTGGTTAACCCCTGAGAATTTAAGAAAGACCTGCTGCAACTGGCCAAAGGCTCAAATAGTTCAGCCTCTTGATCTGGCAGTGGCCAGCCAAATGCCCAGGGGAAGCCCACAAACAGGACACAACAACTCCTCAGAAACTGACTTAAAAAAAGAAGAAGTACAAAGAGCCAGATTCCTTTTTATGTGTCTTTATAATTTAATTTTTCACACATACATATAAAGGCTAACACATTTTTTCCCCTTTCCTTTTCTTCTTGAAATTCAGTCAAAAATACAACAGCATCATCTACTTCTGTGTGAGGTACAATCTGCAACCAATTGTTGCAGTATTGAGTGCTCCAGCCATATAGCTTTGCCTTCTGTCAGGATAATTCTTTCACACACACACCCCATACAGGCACTTGGCATTTTCTGACTACAGAGCATAGTGCTTTTTTTAAAAAAAGAAATCAAATGGGGGGGGGGTTGTTCTCTTAGGGCATTTCCCCCCCCCCTCATGATTTTTTCTATATCTGCAAACCTTTAATATCTCCTTCTCTTCTCCTTTCGTAGCCCCTCTTTGGCTATATAGGCACCATAACATAGCAAGAGTTTGTTTTTGGAAGGAGCTATTTGCTACCCCTAAAACATTGGACCACTTAATACAGTTTCTTACATACATTCTGATTGATATTCAACAACAGTCATAACGTAAGGTCAATGATTTTGCTGGGTCTGTTCCAAGTGTGACTTGGTTAAATAGCACCCTCTGATTGGTAAATCCATCTTTGCTTCACGCCCCCATTTCCCTCACTAACTCATGTTGGCAGCACTATATGTTATGATTGCTGAGTGAATGCTTTGGTGTTTTCTACAGCAAATATACAAGTTGTGGGAGCAAGGCATGCGTTTAAGTTCCAGGCACTGGTTCGTGGGTGCTGCATCTAAATTTCCAGATGCAGGTTCATGAGTCCCAATGTTGGACTGGAGATTGTAGAAGCAATACATAAAATTTTTGCATTTGCACTGGGAACACCGAACATCAGCAGGGAAAACCCCAGGCACTTGGGAGGTATGGCATCAGCTCCTTAGTTACTAGGGAAGGGATGGAAACCCTCCAGATGTTGTGGATTCACAACTCCCAAGAGCACCAGTCAGCATGACCAATGGTCAGGGATGATGGGAGTTGCAGTCCAGTATTCTTGGCTCAAAACAAAACAAAAGTTTAGCAGTATATTAGCCCTACATACAAAGAACAGATATGAATCCCTGCCTTAATTAATAGCCACAAGTTACAGATACTGCCCCTTTCCTCACACAAAATGCAGTTTACTCTCTGAGCACTGGCACATGCACAAAGAAGGATCTCGCACCAAAAGTATATATTTTTTTAATATATATTTAAACTAAAAAAATAAAATCAGTATATATTTCAAGAATTGAGCAGCCTCTAATAAATGGGACTATTCCAACATAGGTGTGAAATCTGCAATCACAATACAAAAATAAGTAGTTTTAATGTATGTGTGTGTGGTGGTGGGGGAATCCTTCAAAGCAGGCTTGACAATGATAGCGAGGCAAGACTAGAAGTGACATGAGGATGAGGGCTTTCTTGGAAGTATTTATAATCCAGAAATCTGCTCTGCTACCAGACCCCAGCTCGCTGCTGCCGATTTTGTCCAGAGTGTTCGAAGAACATGAAATCCTACAAAGGAGAGGGGGGAGGGGACAGAGACCAAACAAAACAGACAGCAGTTAGGCAACTGCAAACCAATATTTAGACACTTTTCTACTTACTCCATTTTACAGAAGTTTTTGAAAACCAATGCCATTTTAATGAGGAAAGTCATTAGAAGGAATGATTACTAATCAAGATAGACCTTTATTACCTCCAGGATCAAAGAGATCCCAAATACTAGCCATTGGGGAATATAAATGAGAGACAATGCTATTGCACTCATGTGCTGCTTATGGGCTTCACATAGGTGAGAACATAAACCTGGACAAGTTAGACCTTTGGTCTCATCCAACTGGGCTTTTTTTATGTTCATCATGTTCCTGCTTCCATGTTTGTAAAAATTGGCACTGTGTCATTAAGCTGAAATTTAGATTGCTTCCAGACAACCTGTCTGTTTGGCATTCATCCTGATCTGTTCACAGGGAGAAATTTTTTTTTGAGGGGGGGCAGGTTTGTTGTGCAATAACTCCAAATCTACTTTAATTGCACAACCCAAATCTGCAAGTATGTGACTGAATCCCACCTGAAAAACGCAACGACCTGGAAGTGACCTGAGTAGATTGAACAATCTGGCAGATTCCATCACCTTAAATATTTAATTTGATTCAGCATGGCTTTCCTTCCTCCATCTACCTCCTGGATGCATGCCACTCAGTGCTGCAGCAATGAAAGCAATGACTTGCGCCAAAGCTAAAATTGCCAATAATCATTCCAAGAAGTGCCAGCAAATCTCTGCAGCTCTTTAATTAACATAAGGCACTTGGGAATTTTACATGACTGTCCTTATCAGCCAAAAGGAACCAGAAAGTCCTACAGGACTCAAAGTGCCGTGTAAGGAGCATACATATAAAGTCCATTAAATTAGACTCCAAAATTCCCAATGGCACAACATTTGAGACTATCAGACTCACTATGAGGAAGCAAGCCCCAATCATGACGGCTTTCATTTTAACATCGAGGTCTTGTGGGAACTGGATTCCAAAGTTGTCTGCATCTGTAAAGGCCTCCCTCACAAAGCCAGTCCACTGCTTGGAAATTCTTCCAACGTTGTTTTTCTCATCTTTTGACTTGACCTAGTTGTTGTTTTTAAAAAAGAGATCATTATAATTGGAAATTTAAGACATTTTAAATCTTCACATTTGCAAAGTATTTAAAAGGCATGAGGCTAATGTCAACATTTTATATAACTTGTTGAAGGGAGACAGAGTGTGCAGCCTTCCAGTGTTTTTTTTTTTTTTTGGTCTCCCAGCCAATGGTGGAGGCCAGACCCCACTTCTCTACAGCCTCAGGGTAAAAAATACAGAAAACAAGCTAACACTACAGGTTAACTTGCTTCTCCATGAACTGGCAACACCAGATTACAGATTACTAGATTTCTCCCAATGCTAAACAACAAGTAGACATGATGGCTTGTGCCATGATGCAGGCCCCTGGCCAACGTGATAAAATTTCACAGGACACGGTCCTATTGTTAACTTGCCTCAAAGTTAATATCTTCACAGCAGCTGCATACTATGCAGGGCCCGACGACTCTCAGTATTTCTTCTTGGGCTTCATTTTGGATAGCAAATTTAGGTAGACAGGGATCCCAGAGCTGTTTAATATAACCAACCGGTGTGCCTGGTGGGGCATGAACTTCCAGCTAAAAAAAAACAAGGAACAAACAGAGCTGAGTCAGAAGAAGGTGCTTCAGTTTTTTTAAGCCAAGTCGCAAAATCTGTGAAAAAGACATGTTAAAGCAAAACAACTGCTCTGGCTACCAATTAATGTCTGGGCTCCATTCAAAGAGTCGGTTTTAACGTACAAAGGCTATGTTGCTCAGGAACCCCAGTACCTCAAGGAACCCCTCTCCCCATAAAAACCACCCCAAACCCTGCAGCCTTCATTAGAGGCCCTTCTCTCTGGTGAGAGCCAGTGTGGTGTAGTGGTTAAGAGCGGTAGTCTCGTAATCTGGGGAACCGGGTTCGCGTCTCCGCTCCTCCACATGCAGCTGCTGGGTGACCTTGGGCCAGTCACACTTCTCTGAAGTCTCTCAGCCCCACTCACCTCACAGAGTGTTTGTTGTGGGGGAGGAAGGGAAAGGAGAATGTTAGCCACTTTGAGACTCCTTTGGTAGTGATAAAGCAGGATATCAAATCCAAACTCTTCTTCTTCTTCTCTTCTTCTCTTCTTCTTCTTCTTCTTCTTCTTCTTCTTCTTCTTCTTCTTCTTCTTCATCCAAGGGTGACTATAAGAGCATGGCCTTTTTCAGTAGTGTCTCCTCCCTCCCACCCCCAAACCCTGCCATATGTGGAATCCTCTCCCCAGGACAATATGTCTGGCCCCATAGTTTCCTGGTGCCAGGCAAAAACATTTTTTATTAACCCAAGTTTTTAGTGGTTAAGTTAGCCTCAAAGGTACATGACTTTTTAAATTTTCTGGGTTTTAAGTTATTTCATCTGTTCATTTTATATTTGTTGAGTTACTTCCACACGTTGTTGTTTTTTGTACAAAGCAACCAACAAATGCAACTAATAATAAGGGTGAGAACTTAAGAAAGCACTTCCTTCCCACAGTGCATCACTAACTACCAACTCTGAAGACATTAAAAGAGGATTGGACAAATTCATGGAGGAGAAGGGCTATCAGTGGCTACTAGTGGCAATGGCTGTCAGACGCCCTTTGCCTCTGAATTCCAGTTGCTGGGGATTTCAAATGTTGCACTCAGGTCTTGGATTTGGGGCTTTCCATGGTCTTCTGGCTGGCCACAGTGAGAGCAGGATGGGCTACTGGCCTGAACCAGCAGGGATCTTCTTCTCACCTGAGGAAATTAGAGCTGGACAGGAAGCCAGTGTAAGAATTTAAGGAGGGGCACCTCAAATGGTCAGAGAAATGAGAAAGCACCCCAAGTAAATATCCACATCTTGGTGGTTTTAAAATGAGACAAACCAAAGGACTCAAGGAGCAAGAAGCCATTTACCTCTTGCAAACAGCAAGGACAGCAACAACTGGAGCACCTGAGAGGTCGCCTGAGCTCAATGACTTCCTGACCCACATTGTCAAGGATTTTCATTGTAAATGGCCGGGATGTTCCACAGCAGTTCAGCGTACAGCAGTCATTTTCCTCGGCTGCAAAGTACACCCTTTGCCCCATTGCATTTTTTATTTCATATTTGTTGGCCGTTTCAAAGCCTGTGAGTACTGAAAGAAAAGGAAGAGAAGTCCAGTTCTTTTGATCCGAATGCATTCCCCACTGAGCTACGGCCCCCTTCCCAATTCCAGCGATGTTGTGGGGCAAGAAAAACCTGAAGAACTTCATGACGTCACAACATTAGGCAAGTTCTACCAAGAATTACAAAGGGAAGATACCAGTTCTACTGGATGCAAAGCAGCCCAGTGTGATGACAGCTGCATGTCACCACTTTGGCCCTCAAGAAGATCCTGTGATTTTCCCACCCCTGAAGACACAAAAGCTCAGTTTACAAGACTTATTCAGATTCAGTGAATGAGGTACCGGGAAGAGGGAGCAGAGGTGCACCACTGGCCCTGGCTAAACAGTATGGTCAGCCAGACCTGTGTAAACAGCTTCTCTAAGTGCAGCAGGATGCCACCCAGAGCCACAGAGGTTTCTTGGGCACTCCCCACTGCTCAATCTCCTATGTGGTAACTTCCTCATTCTTATAATGCCTGAGGAGATCTTAAAACAATGAAATTTTTGTTCATTTGAACAAATCAAGTGTGAAACGTGTATTGGTGTGGACTTAAGTCTTTAACAGAAAGGGACTGACATGAAAGCAATAGTTATTCCCACCCCCAACCCTCAAAAACCACACTGCTGGCTATTTCTGTGTAGCATAAGCCAGGGATGGGGAACTTAGGGCTCTGCAGATGTTGCTGGACTGCAAGTCCCACAACTTACTGACATTTCCGAGCACAATTCAAAGTGTTGGTGCTGACCTTTAAAACCCTAAATGGTCTCGGTCCTGTATACCTGAAGTAGCGTCTCCACCCCCATCATCCAGCCCGGACACTGAGGTCTAGCGCTGAGGGCCTTCTGTTGGTTCCCTCACTGTGAGAAGTGAGGTTACAGGGAACAAGGCAGAGGGCCTTCTCGGTAGTGGCACCTGTCCTGTGGAACGCCCTCTCAGCAGATGTCAAGGCAATAAACAACTATTTTACTTTTAAAAGACAACTGAAGGCAGCCCTGTTTAGGGAAGTTTTTAATGCCTGACGCTGTATTGCTTTTAATATTCGGTTGGAAGCTGCCTAGAGTGGCTGGGGAAACCCAGCCAGATGGGCGGCGTATAAATAATAAATTGTTGTTGTTGTTGTTAATGTTGTTACTACTACTACTACTGGTCATGCTAGGTCTGGTGGGAATTGGAATCCAACAACATCTTGCAGGAAGGGCACAGGTTAGCCACCCCTACAGTAAACTGTTCCCTGTCAGAACAATACCTTAATACATATAACCACCAAAGCAATCAGGGATTCTTTAGCTGTGATTCCTGCATTAGATTAGATGACCCTTGGGATCAATTTTAACTTTACAATCCTAATTGGCTATAAATCACATTCTCTTTTATATACATGTATGCTTGGTTAATTACAAATTGAATTTCAGAAGTCACATGCTTTTAAAAACAGGTGTTTCTCCAGCAACACCATAAAATAAAGTCCAACCATCCAATCCTCACCCTGTAGTAAACACACTGAACATCAACTTCAGTTGAGGCATAATTATCTGAAATACCTTTCAATGCACAAACAATATTAAGTAGCATAAGATACGTACCTTCCAGGAGCTCAATCTGCTGATGAACTAATATCTGATCAATCTATGACAGGGATTAAAAAAAAACCAACGTGTTAAAACTGGCAAATAATAATAAAATTACACAAGTATTTATCTTGCAACCTGTTTACATTATTCACAAAACCCGAGGGACTGCTCTGTTAGGTATTCCTTGCATTTCGAAACACATAAATTTAGAAGCCTCTTTAATGAAGAAAAGCAAAAACCAATCAATATAATTTGCTTCCTGGTAAATGTGCCAAAATTTGTATCTGGAAAGTAACTATAGTTGCTTATAGTTATAGAGCAAATATAATGCTGCTAAGAAATTTCACAAATCAGCAAATGGAATTCATAAGCCCCTTCATGTGGTCAGGTAACCCTCCATATGGTGAAAAGTCTCTAAATCAGGGCTGGTGGCCCTTGTATTTTTGGGGACTTAATATCTGAACAACTGATTTTTGTGGGGTTTTGTTGTTGTTTGTTTGGAAATTGCTTCCTTCACCCATGGAGGGGCTTTTCTGAATCTGTGGGAGTTGCTCGAGCATGCTCCATGCGTGTGCAATGGAGGAAAATGCATATGGGCAAGGAGTGAGGGACAGAGGGAGAGATACACCTGGGAAGAGAAGAACGGGGTACATGTGCAAGCGAGAGTGTGGGGAGTTTTGCACATGTGTGTGTGGTCTGTGTGAGAGAGAAATGTGGTGTGTACGTGAGGGGGAGAGATGTACACGTGGCTGCACACATGTGAAGTACGTGTGCCTTTTGGGTCTCAAGTTACATTTTCGCACCCTGATGATTCGGGTGATGGGCAACGGCAGTGGCAAATACCACCACCACCTGTTAGAAAAAAAAGCTTCCCCTTTGTACCGCTTCGAATATATATTTCAACATTTAGGAGCAATTTCAATGGTTATTAAATGGATCCCGAATGCTTCCGCATCTCCCCTATATGCGATTGGATCTATGGGGGAGAAAAAACCGTGTAGCGTCACTGAAGTATTACTCGTTTGCTTTCCTGAAGAAGTTGAACATAAAGAGAAGTACCTGGCTTAAATATTCCAATCCAGGAGGGCAATTGGGAATTGAAGGTGGCGCTGGCATCCACATAGCACCAGGAGGTCCATTGGGCTGGCCTGGAACTGGAGGAGCTCCATAAGCTTGCTGAACAGGCTGGAATCCGTAGGGTGGCTGTCCAGGAGCACCTTGGAAGGGGAATGCAAAACGACAAATTTTACCTTTTGTATTATAAAAAAACTTTAAAAACAAACAAACCCCTACACTAACAGATTTGGTGCAATAATTTACATAATTTACATTTAATTTTAACTATGGCATTTTTTCAACGAAAACGTAGGGTGTGAATATAAGAAACAAGTAAAGAAAATACTCTCCCTCTGCAGAAATTAGAAATTAGAAATTAGAAAATGTGTGCATGGGATTGCACCATTGGCAAGGCAATGCATTTTTCCCCCTGGCAGAGCCACATGTTGGGGCATCCTGGACTCTCACATTTCTGTGAGTAGTTGTCTACTCAGAAGCAAGACTCAGAAGCAGTCTGAAAGCAGATAGTGCTGCAATGCTCTGGTCCCGCCATTTGTTGTTGAAGGCACATTTGTGGTATCTTATATTTTTAGAACAGCTCTTTTGCACAGAACGGCATTCACACAAGCCAGATGTACTTTATTGCATGGGCAGATGGAGTCCCCCAAACCCTGGGCAGCCTCCGTGTGGAATAACGATTGAAGACAACGCGCTATGGGATTAAAAATTGGTCACAACTTTATTATGTTTCAGATGTGGGTAGACTTTGGCTCAGACATTGGGTGTTTATCCCTCCTAGTCCCCCGCTGGGGATCTGGGGAACATCAGGGTTATCTAGAGTGTGTGGGGGGGGGATGGGCTGGTTCTGGAGAACATATGTTCAAGCAGAGAGAGCCCGCCCCCGTTATGCCCCCGTCACAGGGGAGAGCAATGACAACCTCTAGGCATATGGCCAAAGCCTTCCCTCAAAACAACCCCTTTAACGGGGAACCCTGGGATCGCCACCACAAAGAGAAGGGGGCGTGGGTCACCGCTACATGCCCACCCCCATTTAGGGAAGATAGACTAAAGGATTCCACCCAAGGCCTGATATCGCCAAAGTTGTGACGTTTTGCTACAGGAAAGGCAAACCTGCCGATGCAGGAGAATTCCTTTCTGGCCCTTCAACAGCGACCTTGACGTAGCAGCGCCCCGCGTACCTGTGGAGAAAAGGTTAACCTGCAAAAGAAGTCTTAACTGAGGGTGGGTAGGGTGGGAGAAGCTCTGGAGCCAACTGACGATTCCCAGGTAAGATCCTCCCCCTATTGTGTGGGCAGGGTGGTCCCACCCCCTACCTGGCCTGATCACCTTGGCAACGCCTCCCCTGGCGGGATTGGGCAATTGGCTGAGGTAGGCGGAGACCTCCAGGTACCCCACCTGGGGAAGGCGAAGCCAAGCCTGTGTTATGGTGCCGCATAGGGTCCAGGGGGCTGCGCGCGACCACACAAAGGCGCTCCCCATTTAATGTGGGGAATGCGGCAGCTAGACTGGTGACTGGGAGCAGCCGCGAAAACCATATAACGCTGGTCTTGAAAGACCTACATTGGCTCCCAGTACGTTTCTGAGCACAATTCAAAGTGTTGGTGCTGACCTTTAAAGCCCTAAACGGCCTCGATACAGTATACCTGAAAGAGCGCCTCCACCCCCATCATTCTGCACGGACACTGAGGTCCAGTGCCAAGGGCCTTCTGGCAGTTCCCTCGCTGCGAGAAGCCAAGTTACAGGGAACCAGGCAGAGGGCCTTCTTGGTAGTGGCGCCCTCCCTGTGAAACGCCCTCCCACCAGATGTCAAAGAGAAAAACAACTACCAGACTTTTAGAAGACATCTGAATGCAGCCCTGTTTAGGGAAGCTTTTAATGTTTAATAAGTTATTGTATTTTAATATGCTGTTGGAAGCCGCCCAGAGTGGCTGGGGAAACCCAGCCAGATGGGCGGGGTATAAATAATACAAAATTATTATTATTATTATTGAAAATTTAAATACAATTGGCCCTTGCTGGTACTGGAGGTGGGACGGAAAATAAAAGAGAGGAAAGGAAGCAGCAGCCAAATCAGGGGTCAGCAAACTTTTTCAGCAGGGGCCAGTCCACGGTCCCTCAGACCTTGTGGGGGGCCAGACTACATATTTTTTTTGGGGGGGGGGAGAACGAATTCCTATGCCCCACAAATAACCCAGAGATGCATTTTAAATAAAAGGACACATTCTACACATGTAAAAACACGCTGATTCCCAGACTGTCCGGCTTGAGAAGGCGATTGGGCTGGATCTGGCCCCCAGGCCTTAGTTTGCCTGCCCATGCTCCAAATCCTTGCTGGGCTTGAAGTGATACAGCTTTTTAAGAAACAACCAAGCCCTGCACTTTTCTGCAAATCTGGTCTATAAAAAGAAACTTGTATTTCATACACACACAGAGGGAGGGAGGGAGGGTAAACAGATACCTTCCTGCATGCCCCCAATGTATCTCAGGTTTCAGGAACATATGCTGGGCAGGAAGGTGTTAATAGAAGGGAAGGAACAGCAATACAGGCAGCAAATACACCCCATAAAGGGCCTCCTACTAGTGTGGATGGGAAACACCAAGGCATATTTATTATTACAATATTAATGTACCACTAAATACTAAAAGTACATCAACATGGTTTACAACATTTAAAAGATAAGAACCATATAATAAAAGCGCATAACAGGGTGGATAAAAATAAATACTTTTTTAAAATAAAAAAATCAGATTTCTTTTATTTAAATTGGATTTTTTATTTATTTAAATCGGATTGTTTTGATTTAAATTGGATTTTTTAAAAAATAACATCCTTTTGGAGGGAAAATCTTTCTAAAGATAGTTTTCTATTTAGGTTACATTACAGTCCAAAGGCTATTCATCATCAGGAAATAAGGATTTGTTTTAAGTTTTTCATGTGTTCAAGTCTGTTGTTTTTTTAAAGATTTAACCACATCAGTTAACAAACATGGATACATATGCTATAATGTTATTGCTTTAGTTAAATAAATTGTTTACATTGTTATTAAGGAAATGACTATTTTTCTTCTTCCAATAAAGTACAGCAGAAAAGTTGTCCAAATATAAACAGTTAACTTATTAAACCTCACAACAATTTAATAATTATCTATGTATTGCTAATAGTATAACCAAATCAATAATTTTTGATATAATTGTAAAAACTGCTTTGAAAATTTATTATTCCAAAAATGAAACCTTCATCTGGTTGTAAATATTAAGATTATACCAGCAAGAATGGGTCTTTCTGTAAAAATAATAATGATTTAAATCAAGTCTTACTGACTAGAGATTTAAATCGATTTGATTTAAATCAAATCCACCCTGGCACAAAACCTTTCTTAAAGTTTATAATGAAAATCAATCTAAAAGCCAAAAGTGCCTCGACTATGGACTTTGTGCAAGCAAAACATGCAATTGATGGCTGAACTACGGCCCTTACAACCCTGCCTGATCAGCAGTCTTTGCCCCATCCCACGCCCAACATACCCCGCCCCACCAGCATCATCCTTTGGATTGCACAAGGTGACCTTTCTGCAACTGCAATCAGGGAAGCAATTGTGTCCTGCCTTCCCAGCATGGCTTCTCAAGTTCAAATGATCTAACGGATGCGTAAGCTGGATGCACGCATGTTCCAAGGGATAAACACACCCCTTTCATTGTTTTAATTTAAAGGCCTGCATCAGAAGGGACCATCATTCACATTAACGTCATCTTGCATTACGCACTGTGCCAGCGGAATTAATGGGATTCGGAAGAGCTATGTTAGAGGCAAAAGAGTACCTCTCCCACTGCTGCTATTGCTGTTCTTACTTAAATAGCACTGCTGCACAGGGCCTGAACTCTGCAACTTAGCCATGTGAACCCACCTGAAATATTCTGATGGAGGGCAGTATGTAAATCAAATCACACAAACAAACAAATAAGAAATATGTTCAGACAGCATTGAATGGATTAAAGCAGCTTTAGATTTATTAAATTAGGTTAGCAAACATAAAGTCCATGTAGTTGAGGGGAAGAAGGAGGAGGAGGAGGAGGAGGAGGAGGAGGAAGAAGAAGAAGAAGAAGAAGAAGAAGAAGAAGAAGAAGAAGAAGAAGAAGAAGAAGAAGTAGAAGAAGTAGAAGAAGAAGAAGAAATTAGTCTGAAGATAAATTAAAAAAAATAGCCAGCCATGGTGTATGGACAGACTGAAAGACTTCAGGTGATAACATTACAACTCTATATGCCCAAGAACTGATTTTCTTATACGCTTCTGATTTTCCACTCCCTCTGTACAGTATTGGCAGAATATCTGAGAAGCCATGAGGTTCTACCATTCATTTGCGTTCTCCTTTGTGGGCATTTTTGTAAGCAAGAAATGGACACAGGCTACAGCACTGAAAGAGCTGCCCTTTAATTCAACCATAATTTCAAAATTAAAAAGAAGAGTCTCTTTTCTGACAATATAGAACATCTAGAACAATCAGCAACACCCCACCCCACTTGCTTTGATGAGACTGGTGTTAAAGAACTATACAGATGGTGTCCTATATTAATAAGTGTAATTTGTACTTTCAGCTTCAACCACCAAAATGTCTTGCGGTTACCCCAGAGAGGTAAATTCAATGGGAATAGTTATCAAGTGTGTCCACAGATTTTAGGATTAGCTTGAACACAAGGAAGCTAATGATCTACTACTAGAGCCTGCACAGAGCATTTGCAGGGCACATGCAGACTGGGAAAATAGATGAACAATCTCTTTCCTTTTTTAAAAAAGCACCTGCTGTTGCTTTGTATGCATGGCAAACACAAACCAACATACCCCTCACCAGTTTCCATTCAAAAGCGTAATGAGCCCATAATTTAGATTCATTTCAATACAGGAACATTTTGCTTCTGAGAGGAGGCTTCTTACAAATACAGGATTTTGGGCAGAATATATTTTCTGCTTGTGGAGAAATGCTTTCTGTTTCATTTTATGCATACGTAGTAACACTGTATGGAGACCCAGAACAGGTCCACCAAAAGAAATCCTGAACTGAGACCAGAATATGAAGCTGAACAGAATATGGACCTTTCTTCAAATGGTCTACATTTCTATGGTCAAGCTTTGCTTCTCCGTTACATCTGCAGATGAGGCAGTGGTTGTGCTGGATCGTTGTTCTGCCTCAGTAATGACTTGCCGAGAGGTAAAAGTAAAAAGGTAAAGGACCCTGGATGGTTAAGTCCAGTCAAAGGCGACTATGGAGTTGAGACGCTCATCTCGCTTTCAGGCCGAGGGAGCCGGCGTTTGTCCACAGACAGCTTTCCACGTCATGTGGCTAGCATGACTAAACTGCTTCTGGCACAACGGGACAACAGGATGGAAGCCAAAATGCATGGAAACGCCGTTTACCTTCCCGCCGCAGTGGTACCTATTTATCCACTTGCACTTTGATGTGCTTTTGAACTGCTAGGTTGGCAGGAGCTGGGACAGAGCAACGGGAGCTCACCCCATCATGGGGATTTGAACTGCCAACCTTCTGATCGGCGAGGCTCATGAGGCACTGTTAGTGGGTGGTTCCCTTAACCAAATGGATGGAAGGTGGCCTGCTCTTCATAGGGTTATACTCCCTCTGAAAGAACAGGTCCGTAGCTTGCAGGTACTTCTGGGTCCATTGCTGTCGCCTGACACTCAGGTGGCCTTGATGTTGCAGAGTGCTTCCCATCAGCTTTGGCCCTTATCTGGACAGGGATAGCCTAACACCTGCTGTCTATATTGTAGTCACCTCCAGGTTAGATTTCTGCAATACATTATACAAGGGGCTGCCTCTGAAGATGGTTCAGAAACTTCAGCTGGTGCACCATTCAATAGCCAGTTGCTCTATGGGGCAAGACGGTTTGAGCACATAACACCAACCCTGGCCTGACTGGCAAAGAGTTTCTGGGCCCAATTCAAGGTGCTAGGTTTGACCTACAAAGCCAGGTCAGGACTGCAGTATTTCAAAGATCGCCTCTTCCCATATCTTCTTCTTCTTTGGTGATCACTCGTAGCCGAGTAAGATTGTCTTCCATAAACACAGTTTTAACAATGAGTCCGTAAGTGTCTGTGGAGACCAATTCTGGATCCACACATCCTTCCACAGTGTGGTTTCCGGGTGGGAGTTGATCATGGTGTGGATTTGCCAAGCGTGCCTTCCTCTTAGCATGTTTCTCCCTTGCATGCTGACCTGGACCCTATGATCAACATCTGAGGTGCCCCCCTCCACAAGAGGTCTGGAGGGTAGAAACACAGGTAAGGGCCTTTTGTGTGGTGTCTTTCCATTTGTGGAGTGCTTGCCTGGGAGGCTTGCCTCACACCTTTGTGATATATCTTTAGGAGCACAGCAAAAACATTCCTCTTCTCCTAGGCCTTTGGCTTATTAAACAAATCTATGGCCTTTTAAACTGGAGGGTATTGTTTTTGCCTGTTATGTCATGTACTTTTGATTCTGAACTGCCCTGTGGTCCTCATATGAAGGGTAGTATAGAAATTTATTCATTAGAATAAATATATAGATGCTTTTTTAATGTACAGAATTTACATACAGCGCATCAGTGCAAGTGATGTTGGGAAGTGTCACAACAATGTAAAATACAAGTTTATGTGCATAATAACTGCTTACCTGGAAAGCCAGCAGGATATTGGCCAGGCCCTGGGGCATACTGACCAGGCCCAGGGGGGTACTGAGGGTATCCATAAGGTGGCTGTGTTCCAGGATACCCAGGAGCAGAACCAGGGTACACGGGAGCTGGTGGGACAGGTGCAGATTTATCTGTTGGAAGAATGGAAAGACATTTCAAAGCCTCACTTCCTGAACACTCGCAAATATATATATCATTCACATTTATGCAGAGAGCAGAAAACATAAAGGCAAAACATGGCATTATACTACTTGAGTTTCACTCCTTATTTATGGATCAATCCTGTCTGCAAGATCTTCCAGGATTTAGTGGGGTTAGGATTCAGAGGAACTCTGGCTGAGATGGGAGGTTCCTGGCACCATCTGGCTAAGATGGCTTAACTGCTTTATCTGCAGTTCAGCCAGATATGCCAATCTTTCTCCCCCATCCTGGATCTTAAACCCATGTAAGCCCTGATAAAAGGGTGTTCTGGGAGTGTGGTGGAGAGCAAGACCAAAGCGGGGGTGGGGGAGAGATTTAGGCCAGATCCCAAGTCCATTCAGCTTGACCACATGACCTGGAAACCTGGCAAAAGCTTTTTCAAAGGCTTGTTTCCCCCTTGCCAGGCTTAGACCAACTCAACCAGCAGTTGCCCTGCTCCTGAATGAAGTTTGGATCTGGTGAACTTTAGGCCAGCTTAATTTATGCCAGGCTTGCTCTATGCCAGGTTCTAGTGTATGGGATTGGTCCCTTAATTCAGCTTTAGGTAAAGGGTCCAGTCGTGGCCGACTCTGGGGTTGCAGCGCTCATCTCGCTTTATTGGCCGAGGGAGCTGGCATACAGCTTCCGGGTCATGTGGCCAGCATGACTAAGCCGCTTCTGGTGAACCAGAGCAGCGCACGGAAACACCGTTTACCTTCCCACCGGAGCGGTACCTATTTATCTGCTTGCACTTTGATGTGCTTTCGAACTGCTAGGTTGGCAGGAGCAGGGAGCGAGCAACGGGAGCTCACCCCGTTGCGGGGATTCGAACCGCCGTCCTTCTGATCGGCAAGTCCTAGGCTCTGTGATTTAACCCACAGCGCCACCCGCGTCCCACTAATTCAGCTTTACTTTTAGGTTATTTTCTATTTAAAAGACAAAACAAAACGGGCAATCACAGATCATTTTACAAAAGGGTGGTACATGGATTGCAATAGCAGCCAACGTATTGGGGTGCAGCCACCCTCCTGATGTTGCTGCATTGTGCTGGGTGGTAAAAACGGCATCAATGCATCAAGCCAATGTACCCGCCAGTTAAGTGGCAATATTCCTACACCAACATTTCCATGAACCCAATGAATACAACCTTACTCTTTTGATAAGAATTCTCGAGTGGAGAGTTTACCAGATTCCCTATTCTCAGATTTATCTCTTGAAAAGTATAGCACTTGCAGAATGCGACCAGAATATCTACTTGTATAAAATATGTGCAAACAGATTGGGCTAGGGAAGGCCCCTGTCTGAAATCATGGAGATCTGTCAGCAGTCAATGCTTTAGGTAGACCAATGGTCTAAATTGGTATAAGGCAGCTTCCTAGGTCTGAATCATATAAACTGTATAATTTCCAAAAGTAACACCCTTTGAAGTGCTATTTTCACTTACTAGGGATGGTGTTTTTTTCTCCTGCCAGAGGTTATGTGCTTTTGGCACAGGGGCGGGGAACCTGTAACTCCCATAATCCCTGAGCATTGGCCTCCAGAGTCCAAAAGCAGCTGGAGAGTCATAGGTTCCACACCCTTTAACTGCTGAAATGCATGGAGAAGAAAACTAAATAGGCAAAACTTCTACCACCACAGCGATACAGTGAGGGGAACAGTCCACCTTCTGAATTTCTGGCTGTCTTTCAGTTTCTACAGCCATGGAACTCTGGCAGGAAATATCTTTAAAAGCTTGGAATCCTGCATACACCTTATTGTTGTTCAACAAGAACTAACATAATTTCAACGCAATCCTAAAATGTATTTGGAATTTACCTTTTCTTTTGTGGGTCTATAGGGCTATCCTGAATGTTTGTTTAATGGGCTGCTACTCTCCTTCCCCACTTTCCACATATATTTTATGTTGCAAGATTCACTTTCTACATCATTTGGGGAAGGCAACCCAGTTTAGGAAAAATACTAAAGCAAAACAACAATATCTGACTAAAGCAAATATTTGAACAATAAAGCAAAAAGAAAATTAAAAAAAAACATTCAATTGATTTTTGCGGCATTTTTCTAGAACATTTGATGAAAACCTTGGTAATGTTCATTCCAAATTATTTAAACTCCCAATGGAATAGTTAACCCATGTTTGAAGAGTTGAGTATACAATGTCTGAGTGGACTTTGTTTTCTGCTTCCTGCAGCCACCAGCACACACCCACAATCTGCAACCCTTTGCAGCAAATGTTGAGGGCTCATGGAGATGAAAGTGAAGTCTAGTTGTACTTCTACCTCACAAGAACATACCAGCCACAAGATTCCTGTTTCTGCAGGTACCCTACTTCACCACCTCTGGTGTCCAACAAGAGCAGCCAAAACAGGCACACAGTAGGCAAATAGACAAACAACGCTTTATAGATGGTCCGTGTCAAAAATGAACATTCGCAGAATTAAAGCAGAAAAAGATATTACTCACCCTGGGGTTCCATGAATCTTTGTATACTCGTTTCTGAAAAAACAAAATAGGATGGTTGTTGTTTTCAAATAAAAAGCAACATTGCCATATCCTTCTCCCTCTCTCCTAATTTTGTCTTATTCACTTTGGCATTACCAAACTTACAAAACCCAGCACCTCCCCATTCATGATTGGAGCCTGGCTCCTTAGCAAATATATTATTATAAATGTACTGTGTTTGCCCCAATGTGTCCACTTGTAAGAACAGTCACAGTAACCACTTCGTTTTTTGCCTGAACTAAAAGGCTCAAAATGATTTCACCAGTCCTGGTAGGAAGATGGTTTGACCTCACAGATTAAGAATATCAGAATAGGCCTGCTGGATCAGACCAGTGGCCCATCTAGTCCAGTATCCTGTTCTCACAGTGGCCCATAAGATGGTTGAGGAAGCTCAAACGCAGGGCCTGAGGGCAATCTGGTTGCTCTTTTCTGTATTACAAAATGCTTTCGAGCAGCGAAGACAAAACTACATATCATGTTCCAAATGTAGCTATGCCATAGATTTATATGAAGGCAATACAGTGGTACCTCAGGTTAAGTACTTAATTCGTTCCAGAGGGCTGTTCTTAACCTGAAACTGTTCTTAACCTGAAGCACCACTTTAGCTAATGGGGCCTCCTGCTGCCGCCACGCCGCCGGAGCACGATTTCTGTTCTCATCCTGAAGCAAAGTTCTTAACCTGAAGCACTATTTCTGGGTTAGTGGAGTTTGTAACCTGAAGCGTATGTAACCTGAGGTACCACTGTACCATATTTATATCAAGGCATTACACTTTTTGAAAATGAAATGGTTTTTTTCTAACAATTCCTGGCATGGAATATGCCTTTTACATCATTACTGCACATCAAGTCGATATGTCCATTCAGCTATTTATCATGGTCGCTTTTCTGGCTACTCACAACCTAGCAAACATAGGCTTCCCCTTAGGACTTTTGTCTTGGAGGTGGGGAGGATGGAGGCACCAGGGACTGCCCCCCTTGGAACTGGAGGCAGAAAGAAAAGTGGTACTTCTTCCTCTACACACTCTTTGAACATATGAAGGGGCTTCTGTCAAAAACCTTTCTGGAAGCATTTAAAGAATGGGTTGGCTCCAAAGTTTCTGTGGGTAGAGCTCTATACATTGGGAACTGCTACTGGAGAACAGGGAAGGGATTCCAGTCCTTTTCTTGGATGGCAGGAGTTCTTCTGCAAATGGAAGGGCTAGACAGGATCCAATCAAATATTTACTAAGCCTTCGGACCGCGATACCACTCTTCTCCCCATAGGAACCGACCCAGACCCTGAAATCCTATTCTGAGGCCCTTCTTCAGGTGCCTAGCCCACAAGGGATTTAGGGGGTGTCAACACATAAACAGACTTTTTCTGTGGAGGCTTTCGGTTTGAGGAGTACTCTCCCCAAGGAGGCTCGCCCGGTGCCATCATTACATATATATATATATATATATATATATATATATATATATATGCAGGTTTTGGTGTCCTCGGGTGTCTTCCCGTGTAAAAGTTGGGGTGTCTAGGCGACGTTTCGACGAGGTCTCACTCGTCATCTTCAGGCTGGTGCTTTCGGCTTCTTGTTACTGGAACAGAGCAGGATCTCAGTGTTTGAGTTCCTATAAATACTGTTGAGGGGGTGTGGTGTATAGCCTCCAATGTTCTGGGCAGAGAGGAAGTTCCCAGGCTAGTGTGCCTTTTCTTCTTTTGTTCCTTAATTACTTGAGGGATATCTTGAGTGATTTCTTGAGTGATATTCTGAGTACCACTTAGGTGGGTCATTAGGTGTGGATTAGTTGCTAAGGCTTTCGTGTCTTGACCTCTTGAACTTTGTGAAGAGTTTTTCTGAGAAGATGGCTGTACTGCACTTAGTTGTGCTCTGGCTTGGCTTCGTGTATAGGGGCGAGCTGTGGTTTTGTGTCCTGTGCCAGCCAGATCTGTGTAGGGATTGCAGGGGGGTGCAGCATCCGGAGGTGCCACCATGGTTTGGCTACTGGATGGTGTCTGTAATTTATCTGTGGAGAGGGTCTGGGTTTGGGTCTGGTGTGGTTGATTGGTGATGGCGTTCTGTGTGCCTCTGGATCTGGTGTCGGTTTTTGTGGGGAGGGCTAATTTCCAGATGTCTGGCAGGCGGGATGTGTCGTCACGCTTGTTCATGTTGTGAGGGTGTTTCTCTATCTCGATGGCTTCCATGATTATTCTCTTGTGGTGATGTTCCATGTTAAAGAGTAATTTGGAATCTGCAAAATTAATTTCGTGTCCTGTTTCTTTCATGTGTTGGAAAAGAGAGGAAGTTTTTTCTTCTTTTTTGACGGCATTCTTGTGTTCTGCGATACGTGCATTTATTCGTCTGTTTGTTTGTCCAATGTACGTGGCTGGGCAGACTTTGCAGGGTATTTCATAGACCCCTTGGTTTTCCAACTGGATTTTATCCTTGGGGTTTCTGAGGATATTGGCTATTTTTGGTTGGTGCAAAAGGCTGTTTTGATATTGTGTTTATGGAGGATTTTGCTAATTTTATCTGTAGTGCCCTTGATATAAGGAAGGAGGGCCATGCCATTGTTTTCTTCTGTGTCTTGGTTTTTGGGGGGTGTTTCTTTTTGGATTAGCTTCGTAACCCTGTTTTGCTGGTATCCATTGGCGATTAACACATTTGAGAGATTCTGTAACTCAGTTGTCAAGTGGTCTTTGTCAGCCAGGCGTTTGGTTCTGGAGATGAGAGTCTTGGCTACGGAGTTTATTTGTGCAGGGTGGTGGTGTGATTGTGCATGTAAGTAGCGGTTGGTGTGTGTTTTTTTCCGGTAGATAGTGTGTCCTAGGGAGCCATCAGGTTTTTTGTAGATTAGGACGTCAAGGAAGGGAAGTTGGTTGTTGGCTTCTATTTCCATAGTGAATTGTATTTTGGGGTGTAGGCTGTTGAGATGTGTGAGGAAGCTATCTAGTTTTTCCTTCCCGTGTGGCCAAATTACAAAGGTGTCGTCAACATATCTGAGCCAAAGTTTGGGTTTGTGTTCTGACTTGTCTAAAGCATTGGTTTCAAAGTGTTCCATGTACAGGTTTGCGATGACCGGTGAGAGGGGTGATCCCATAGGTGCTCCTTCTATCTGTTTGTATCTTTGTCCATTGTGGATGAAGTACGTGTTGGTTAGGCAGTGGTTGGTCAGGTCCAGGATGTATTCGGGGGGATTGTATTTGTTTTGAATGGCTGTCAAGGCTTCATTAATGGGCACTTGTGTGAAGAGAGATACAACATCGAAGCTCACAAGTAGGTCATTGGGATGTAGGTTTTGCTTCTTTATTATTTCTATGAACTGGAAGGAGTTTGTAACGTGTGAAGAGATGGATTCTGCATAGGGCTGAAGTTGCTTAGCGAGAAATTTAGCGAGATTTTGTAGAGGTGAGCCTATGGAGCTGACTATTGGTCTGAGTGGTGTTCCTTCTTTGTGTATCTTGGGGAGGCCGTAGAGTTTGGGGCATCTGGATGATTTTTCTCTGGGGATGATTCTTAGCTGGATTTCTTCACTGATAGGAGAGGCTTTTATTTTGGATTTGGTGGTTTTTTCCAGATAGGTGGTGGGATCTGTTTTTATAGGTTGGTAGGTGGGGTCTTGGAGTAGATTTGATAGTTTTGCTTGGTAGTCCGATGTGTTCATCACAACAGTGGCATTACCTTTGTCTGCTGGGAGAATGATTATGTTGTTGTCTTTCCTCATGTCGCCTAGACACCCCAACTTTTACACGGGAAGACACCCGAGGACACCAAAACCTGCATTCCTGTACCCGTGAAAATCTACGAAAGCATATATATATATATATATATATGTGTGTGTGTGTGTGTGTGTGTGTGTGTGTATGTGTATATATAGGGTTACGAAGCTAATCCAAAAAGAAACACCCCCCAAAAACCAAGACACAGAAGAAAACAATGGCATGGCCCTCCTTCCTTACATCAAGGGCACTACAGATAAAATTAGCAAAATCCTCCATAAACACAATATCAAAACAGCCTTTTGCACCAACCAAAAAATAGCCAATATCCTCAGAAACCCCAAGGATAGAATCCAGTTGGAAAACCAAGGGGTCTATGAAATACCCTGCAAAGTCTGCCCAGCCACGTACATTGGACAAACAAACAGACGAATAAATGCACGTACCGCAGAACACAAGAATGCCGTCAAAAAAGAGGAAAAAACTTCCTCTCTTTTCCAACACATGAAAGAAACAGGACACGAAATTAATTTTGCAGATTCCAAATTGCTCTTTAACATGGAACATCACCACAAGAGAATAATCATGGAAGCCATCGAGATAGAGAAACACCCTCACAACATGAACAAGCGTGACGACACATCCCGCTTGCCAGACATCTGGAAATTAGCCCTCCCCACAAAAACCGACACCAGATCCAGAGGCACACAGAACGCCATCACCAATCAACCACACCAGACCCAAACCCAGACCCTCTCCACAGATAAATTACAGACACCATCCAGTAGCCAAACCATGGTGGCACCTCCGGATGCTGCACCCCCCTGCAATCCCTACACAGATCTGGCTGGCACAGGCCACAAAACCACAGCTCGCCCCTATACACGAAGCCAAGCCAGAGCCAAGTTCAAGCCAAGTTCAAGAGGTCAAGACACGAAGGCTTTAGCAACTAATCCACACCTAATGACCCACCCAAGTGGTACTCAGGATATCACTCAAGAAATCACTCCAGATATCCCTCCAGTAATTAAGGAACAAAAGAAGAAAAGGCACACTAGCCTGGGAACTTCCTCTCTGCCCAGAACTTTGGAGGCTATACACCACACCTCCTCAACAGTATTTATAGGAACTCAAACACTGAGATCCTGCTCTGTTCCAGTAACAAGAAGCCGAAAGCACCAGCCTGAAGATGACGAGTGAGACCTCGTCGAAACGTCGCCTAGACACCCCAACTTTTACACGGGAAGACACCCGAGGACACCAAAACCTGCATATATATATATATATATATATAT